GGTCAGAAAAAAGTAAAAAAATGTCTTTTATCTGTTCAAAACTCTTTATAAAGTGCACTTTAAAGGCATAAATACTGTACAGGGACATGATTAAAAAACGAATTTGTAAATGCATTGAAAACCAATTAATCCGTTCCAGAGGTCAGAAAAAAGTAAAAAAAAAAAAAGTCTGATCTGTTAACCACATGCCGTCCAGCCACTGTATAAATACGGCGGCAGGGCGGCACGGGCAGGCAAAACCACGTTTTAAAACGTGTGTTTTGTAAACAGGTAGGGGGGCGTGCGCGAGGCGCGCCGCCACCCTACCTGTCCCGCCGATCACAGCCGTGGATGTCAGTCGCCGGGTCACAGCCGGTCCTTACCGGCTATCTCCCGGCGATCGGCAGCAATCAGTGACAGAGAGCACAGCTGCAGTAGCTGTGCTTTCTGTCAGTTCCCTGACAGCTCCAGGACAAGCTGATCGGGACAGAAGAGTTTCTCTCTTCCGATCAGCCTGTCCCCATTCAGCACACACCCCGCCCCCTAGTAAAAACACTCCCCTCACACAGTTAACCCTTTCCCTGAAAAATAAAGTTAACCCCTTCCTCCCCAGTGCCATTAGTACAGTGTCAGTGTTTTTTTTTTTTGCACTGATCACTGTATTGGTGTCACTGGGGATGTCAGTGACCCCAAGTCAGTACCCCCCCAATGTCAGAATGTCCGCCGCAGTCCCGCCATAAGTCACTGATCGCCACCATAAGTCACTGATCGCCGCCATTATTAGTATAAAAAAAAACCCTAAAAATCCCAGTATCTTTCCCGCCATTTGTAAACGCTATAAACTTTCACGTAAACCAATTAATTTACACGTATTGGGTTTTTTTTTTTTAGCAAAGACATGTCACAGAATGCATTTTGGCAGAAATTTATGACTAAATTTGATTTTTTAATTTTTTTTTTACTGGACATGTTTTATAGCAAAAAGTCCAAAATATTGTTTTTTTTTCCTCAAAATTGTCAGCCTTTTTTTTATAGCGCAAAAAATAAAAACCGCACAGGCGATCAAATACCACCGAAAGAAAGCTCAATTTGTGGGGAAAAAAAGGACATAAATTTCATTTATGTACCGTATTGCATGACCGCGCAATTGTTCGTTAAACTAGCGCAGCGCTGTATAGCAAAAATAAAAGGGAAAAAATTGCAGTATCTATACCATAGTTTGTAGACGCTATAACTTCACACAAAGCAATCAATATACACTTATTGGGATTTTTTTTACCAAAAACATGGAGCAGAATACATTTTGGCCTAAATTTATAACCAACTTTGAGTTTTACTATATATTTTTTATAGATGAAAGTAAAAAATATTGTTTTTCTTCAAAAGTTTTGGCCTTTTTTTGTTTATAGGGTGAAAAATAAAAAGCGCACAGGTGATCAAATACCACCGAAAGAAAGCTCTATTTGTGTGAAAAAAAGGACAGAAATTTTGTTTGGATGCAGCATTGCATGACCGCGCAATTATCAGTTGAATTAGTGCAGCACCGAGTAGCAAAAAGAGGCGTGGTCATTAAGGGGGGTAAATCCTCAGGAGGGCAAGGGGTTAACCCCTTCACGGCTAAGGGTAAAACAAATCTAAATGCCTAAGCACAATTCTGCAACATTGACGTGTTAGTAAAACCGTACATATCGTCACAACTACTTTGTACATCCAGGTGGATTATACCTTGTTTTTTTCAGGACAAATTGGGCTTTCATTTGGTGGTAAATGGTCATGGATAGCTCCTAATTTTTTTTTATTATTAAAGGAAAACTGGGCCAAAATAGTAAAAAAAATCATTTTTTTAAATTTAGCTGTGTGTTTCTTGTTACGACCATAACCTACCACCAAAGAACAACCCAAAATACATTCTCCAGTTCTTGACGATCGCAGCGATACCATATATGTGTATGTTATTTGTTGTTTGTACCCGGAGTGCAGTCCAGAAACAATAGTGCGCATTTTGTTTTTGTCTTTTTTTTTTTATATAAAACACACTGTCACTGACATTGACATTAACACTAACTGACACTGATACCAATTTTTTTTTTTTAAATCCTGACCTTTGCCCTTGACCCTGACCTTTGACCCTGACCTTTGACCCTGACTTTGACCCAAACACTAACCCTGGTACTGAACTAGATCAAACCTTGATCTAGGTATTTTTCTTTATTTTTTCTTTTATTTTTTAATATTTATTTATCTTTTTTTTTTTTTTTACAAACTTTTTTTTCTCTCTCTGTGTCAGGAGTTCGAGAGATACAATGTATCTCTCTTCTCCATTCATAGAGAGAGAGAAAACAAGGGGGCCGGGCTGCACAGTGATTGATCACTGTGATAGCCAATCAGAGGCTATCACAGCGATCACGTGACCCGGAATCGGGAGTCCCGGGTCCCGATCGTTAGAACGGGACCCGGGGCTCTCAGTGACACCGCGGTCTTGGTGCTGGGAGCGCGCCGAGCGGCGCGCTCCCAGCACAAAGACAGGTACGCAAATATGCGGCCTCACGGAAAAAAGCCCAGGTCCGTGAGGCCGCATATTTGTGTGACGTCGGCGTCAAGGGGTTAAACTCTTTATAGAGTGCACTTTAACCTCTTGCCGACCGCGCATAGCCGAATGACGGCTTCACCGTGGTCGGCCAGTTCTGGGTGGACATCATATGACGTCCTCCCAGAACGCGCTCTCCTGCGCGCCCCAGGGGGCGCGCACCCGGCGATCTCCGTGATCGCTGTGTCCTACGGACACAGCTGATCACGTGATGTGGTAAAAGGCCAATCACAGCGGCCTTTTACCACGTGATCAGCGGTGTCCAATGACACGCTGATCACAGGGAAATGCAAGTGCCGGTTCTCGGCTGCACTTTCCTCACGCTGTCAGATCGTGAGGAAAGTACTGCCGAGAACCGGCAGTTGTCACAGCGGGGATCGGCACCGATCATCAGGGCACTGATGATCGGTGCCCAGCAGTGACACCCGCAAGTTCCGCCCAGCAGTGCGCCCACTAGCTCTGCCCACCCGTGCCCAGCAGTGCACCCACCTGTGCCCAGCAGTGCCCCCACCTGTGCCCAGCAGTGCACCCACCTGTGCCCAGCAGTGCACCCACCTGTGCCCAGAAGTGCCACCTACATGTGCCCAGCAGTGCCATCCACCTGTGCCCACCAGTGCCACCCACCTGTGCCCACCAGTGCCACCCACCTGTGCCCACCCACCAGTGCTGCCCACCAGTGCCACCCACCAGTGCAGCCCAGCAGTGCTGCCAGTCAGTGCCACCAGTCAGTGCCCAGGGGTTGTGCCAGTCAGTGCCGCCAGTCAGTGCCCAGCAGTGATGCCAGTCAGTGCCGTCTATCAGTACCCATCATCAGTGTCACCTATCAGTGCCGCCTATCAGTGCTGCATATCAGTGCCGCCTATCCGTGCCACCTCATTAGTACTGCCTATCAGTGCCCTTTAGTGCTGCCTATCAGTGCCCATCAGTGCTGCCTCATCAACGCACATCAGTGAAGGAGAAAAAATGCCTGTTTGAAAAATTTTATAAAAGAAACAAATAAACTTTTTTTTTTTTTTTTCAAATTTTTTGCACTTTTTTTATTTATAGCGCAAAAAGTAAAGCGCCCAGTGGCGATTAAATACCACCAAAAGAAAGCTCTATTTGTGAGAAAAAAATGATCAAAATTTCATATGGGTACAATGTTGCATGACCGCGCAATTGTCAATCAAAGTGCGGCAGCGCTGAAAGCTGAAAATTGGCCTGGTAAGGAAGGGGGTATAGGTGCCTGGTAGGCGAGGGGTTAAAGGCATAAATACTGTACAGGGACATGATTACAAAAAAAAAATTAGTAAACCGAGGCATTATTTTCAATGGATTTTCATTCGTAAACAGAAAATTACATTAACCAAGGAACGCCTGTAATTATTGTGGACTATAATCAGAAGGACTTTTCTCATACACTTTGATATCATTATTATATCACAGTGCGACCATGGTTACATAGTTAGTCTGGCTGAAAAAAGACAAAAGTCCATCCAGTTCAACCATAGAAAAAAATAGGTAATCCTACACCCACAGTTGATCCAGAGGAAGGCAAAAAAACCCAGCAAAGCACGATCCAATTTGCTCCTGCAGGGAAAAAAATTCCTTCCTGATCCCCCGAGAGGCAATCGGATATTCCCTGGATCAACTTGGTAAAATTGTAATGTGTATGGTGACCCTTACTTTGGCAGCCCATAGTCAGTCTTCCTATGCCCTTCCATTGCTCTGTTCAGCAACAATTCCCATTACTTCCAAGCAGAGGCGGACTGACAACTCATGGGGCCCCCAGACAATAGGGGATCATGGGGCCCGTGTCCTTGCCCAAACTCAAAAAAGCCTATGAAAAAGGTACCAGGAACATCTCATGGGGCCCCCTACTGACCCCGGGCCCTCAGGCAGTGCCCGAGTTTCCAAATGGTCAGTCCGCCCCTGCTTCCAAGTATACGATAAAGGGAAGGCTGGCATGATCCAAGAACCAGTTCATGTAACACCAGCAAGAACCACCAAGTGTACACATCAATACGATAAAAGCCACCGACATTCAGATTTATATTTATTTATGTACAGCAACCAACCAGATTGGGATTGGCAGTGAGATCTGACATCTGGGATGGATTGGTAGCCCTGTACTCAGGGGCGGACTGACAAGTCATGGGGCCCCCGGGCAATAGGGGATCATCATGGGGCCCCTGTGTCCTTGCCCTAACTCAAAAAAGCCTATGAAAAAGGTACCAGGGGCATCTCATGGGGCCCCTACTGACCCCGGGCCCTCGGCCAGTGCCGAGTTTCCAAATGGTCAGTCCGCCCCTGCTGTACTTTCAGACACTACAAAGAGTAAGAACAAGGATGGCTTCTGATGGACATGGATCTACAGCACATTGGAATTTTCCCAGGAACATCACGTGGTCCAATCCCACCCCTGGTCAGATCCCAGAGCAGGTCCAGCTATCGCCTACTGGATCATAGAACTGTTCAGCTCCTTCTCAAGTGCCTGGCTGGCTTGGTGGCTGAGGAACAGTAGGTGTCCCTGAGGGATGAATCTGTCCAGACTCAGGTGGATCTTGTCTGCCCGAAGGATGACGTTGGTGCTGTTGGTGAGGAGCTTCAGGGCGTCCACCAGATACCTCACCAGCATCCTCAGGGTGCTCTCCGCCAAGGTCAGGTTGTCCAGGGAGTCGCAGATCAGGGAGAAACCCAGGGAAAATACCCCCATCCAGAGGACCGTCATTTCATGGGGGAAGGGATCCCCCGCTCCCAGACCATACATCCCAACCTCCTCCTCATTGAGGGTCACAGGCTCATCTACTGACTGGATGACAAAGTCGCTGGCTGGCCGACCGGACACTTGGCGCCTCAGAAGACACATCGACTCCGTCTGCCTGCAAGAGAGAAGATTTCTCCATAAGAGACGTAATGGTTCCTTTATCCATGGTCCTTCACCAAGACCATCCTCATAGACCTTCCATCTTACATGGTATCCTCTACCTCCAAGGTCAAAGGAAAGAAACATGGAGTCCTCCACTGGCCTACCCTCTGAGAATACTGCTCACCTGCCTCTCAATGATCTACTGGCTTCTACATTTGCAGGCCATTCATAATGGAGAACAGATAATGCTATCATATAACTCTTAGTCATTCCCCACTTGGCTATGCACACTGTGATGGTGGGAACCCCTCATAATGGGCACAGACTCGGGAACTCAGAACAGGTGGGAATCCCTCATAATGAGCTCAGCAGGTGTACAGACCTGGGGACTCAGCACAGGGATGGTGGGAACCCCTCATAATTGGCACAGACTCGGGAACTTAGAACAGGGATGGTGGGAATCCCTCATAATGAGATCAGCAGGTGTACAGACCCGGGGACTCAGCACAGGGATGGTGGGAACCCCTTATAATGGGCACAGACCCAGGAACTCAGAACAGGGATTGTGGGAATCCCTCATAATGGGCACAGACCCAGGAACTCAGAACAGGGATGGTGGGAATCCCTCATAATAGCTCAGCGGGTGTACAGACCTGGGAACTCAGCACAAGGATGGTGGGAACCCCTCATAATGGGCACAGCGGGTGTACAGACCCGGAACTCAGCACAGGGATGGTGGGAACCCCTCATAATGGGCACAGCGGGTGTACAGACCCGGGAACTCAGCACAGGGATGGTGGGAACCCCTCAATGGGCACAGCGGGTGTACAGACCCGGGAACTCAGCACAGGGATGGTGGGAACCCCTCGTAATGGGCACAGCGGGTGTATAGACCCGGGAACTCAGCACAGGGATGGTGGGGAACCCCTCATAATGGGCACAGCAGGTGTACAAACCTGGGAACTCAACACAGGGATGGTGGGAACCCCTCATAATGGGCACAGCAGGTGTACAGACCCAGGAACCAAGCACAGGGATGGTGGGAACCCCTCATAATGGGCACAGCAGGTGTACAGACCTGGAAACTCAACACAGGGATGGTGGGAACCCCTCATAATGGGCACAGCAGGTGTACAGACCCAGGAACCAAGCACAGGGATGGTGGGAACCCCTCATAATGGTAACATGGTTCAAAAGGTGGAGTTAGTCTTTAAAGGACTTTACAAACCACCATTGCTGACCTCTCTGTTTAAAAATGCTGGTTGACTGGCTGTGAAGGTGATCCAGGAAACGATTGACCTGGAAGAGGAAGAATTGGACTTTGCTTGCTGCATGCTTGTCCCAGATCAGGGATTCCAAAGTCAGCCAGGCATGTAGCATTCTGATAAGCCAGGCTATGTAGCAGGTTTGTGATGAGATATAGAAGTCCTCTGATGCGGTTTTAGGTCACCACACGGCAGGGGCGGACTGACAACTCATGGGGCCCCTGGGCAGTAGGGGATCATGGGGCCCCTGTGTCCTTGCCCAAACTCAAAGCACACACCAAAAAAACCTTATAAAAAAAGGTACCAGGGGGCATCTCATGGGGCCCCCTACTGACCCCGGGCCCTCGGTCAGTGCCCGAGTTTCCAAATGGTCAGTCCGCCCCTGCCACACGGCACAGCCAACTCACCTGGCCACAACGGCAATCTGATCCATCCTCCTGGCTCTGTCCTTCTCCACGGCCACCTCATCCGCCCTCAGCCTCTCCTCCAGGAGGTTACAGCCGAACAGGTGAGAGTAGAGAACCCGGCACAACTCGGGGCCCTCGCCGGGACCGGCCCCCACCGTGTGGATGACAAAGCCGTGCACCATCACAGAGCCCTGACAGAGGAGACACGGGTCAGATATATCGATATTTTACACATACATGGAACAACTTCTCATACAATTACATTCACTTTACCGATCGTTCGATGTGTCATACAATCATTCAATCAAATTGTCTGCTTTCCAATAATCAGATTTTTAGGTCCAACCCGACCAGAATCATTTCTATTCAATTGTTCAGTTTTGCTTGAAACCAATCGATGAAGCAGTATGAGGTTTCCTGATACTTCATAGATCTGATCATATTATCCGAGAGCTCACCACACACTTTACAATCTGATTGTACAATCTGCTTTAGATCTACCAAAACTCTCTACTGCCAGATTGGATGCAATTAGATTGGATGATTAGGGTGGTCCTCCTATTACCATATGTAAAGACACCCCCACGGCAAAAGGCCTAGTCCCCGGAATGGTATGTATGCCGATGTCTAACCCTGAATTAAAAGGGGAGGAGCTTCCAAAACCAATGTACTACTGAAAACAAAAACAAAATAAAAAAACAAAAACAGAATGTAGCACCTCAAAGGCTAATCAGCAATATAAATTGATTAACCCCCCTGGCGGTATTCCTGAGTGTAGCTCGGGGTAAAGTTTCAGCACCACAAGTGGTAACACCCCCCCCCCCCCCCCCCGAGCTACACTCGGGAATACACTGCAGCGTTGCTCCGGAATCATTCCAGCACTTACCTTATCCTTCGCTCCCGCGATGTCCCCCCTGCAGTGTCCCCTGTAATGTCCTCCAGTCGATGCCGGCATCCGTCTTCTGGGTTCCGTTCCCTGCGAGCGTCGGGACATACGGGGGCCGGAACCGGCGGGGAAATTTGAAAATTTTAAAAAGCGACATTCACTAAAATCACATAGTATTACATTCCTGTATCAAACCATTTCACATACATTTTGTCCCGAGTGCTTTGTCCGGCGCCCTGCCTGCATTTTTACCGCCCTTTCTGCCTGGAAACTGAGAAACGTCCATGGCGTCCAAAAAGCGTCCCTTTAGGTCAGACGCGGTTTTAGACCGGCTAGAGAACAGCGATAGTAAATCAGAACCACTTGCAGAATTGAGTGATAATGATTCGTGGGGGAAATTCCTCATCAGACACTGAAAACGATTCTGCGACTTTGCTCAGCGATGTGCGAACTTGGCGCTATATTTCAAATTTCAGTGTTTTTGGTTTGATTATATTATTGAATTAAATGTATTATTATTATATTATTATTTTTTATGATTATTTATTAAATTATAATTTATGATTAAGTGTTTCAAGTTTTATCCTCCCCGGGATGTTTACTAGATTCTTGTTCGGACAGATTTCAGTGAGTTATTCCTAAAAATTACAGACCTACAATAAAAAAAAATACATATTTCCATGCAAAAAAATGTACCGCTTTGAGCACAAAAATATGGACATAATCAGACCGCTAGGGAGGTTAAGGACGTAAAAAAAAAGTGTACAACACACATTATATAATCATGCAACGCACTTACCCTGTTCCTATCCACCCCTCCCAGCACTTCACCCCCTCCCCAATTATCCCCACCGTAATCCCACACAACCCTACCCCTCCCTCCCAGGGCAACCCCAGCACCCCCACAAACCCCCCCCCCTCCCCTAAACCAGAGCACCAAGGGCTAAAAACCTCCCACCCCTCCCTATAATCCCCCTATTCCGTGAGAATGGATAAGAGTCCCCAGAAGTCCCTCTGTAGCAGTGCCTGTATTATATATATACTATGTATGGAGATATATAAATCCAGCTGTATGGAAAAGTTCCAAAATGTTAGCGCTGAGTATCGCTTCACAGCAAGAGGGGAGAGCAACAAGAGACAGCCTGAGTACATAGTTACATAGTTAGTCTGGCTGAAAAAAGACAAAAGTCCATCCAGTTCAACCATTTAAAAAAAAAAGTTATAATCCTACACTGGTTGCTGGGGTTGCCCTGGGAGGGAGGGTGGGTAGTGGTTGTGGCGGGTAATTGGGGTGGGGGGGTGGATAGGAACCGTACATGCATTTGATGATTATATGATGTGTGTTGTACACTTAGTTATGTCCTTAATCAATTTATA